GTGGAAAAGCGATGGATAAAAATGTGACCATTAATTATTTGTGGTGTCAAAATTGAGTTAGAATTTTCAAAATCAAGACATGGCTGGTGAATCCTCTTCAGGCTCGGACAGGTAATCTATACTACAGGGAAATGGCTGGTGGGCTGTTCCACCTCGGACTGCATTTGGGCCGGTGTGGTGGCCTCGGACTCAGGGGCGGACTCTCAGAATGCCAGTCCGCCCATGAGTCGGAGGCCACCACACACACGCGCACTCACACACACACACACATCCAGGGCTGTTTTTTGGTCCCAGTCCATCCCTGATTCCTCTCCATGGTTACTTTGGCATCATTGTTGTTGCAAGATCAGCACATAGTATAGAAGATATAGAAGAGTATAGTATAGGTTGAGTTCTTCACTCAAACTGAAAAGGCTCTGTTCCACCTGGTGATATCATGTTGTAATACAGGAATAGCTCTTCTGTGTTTTTAAACTCCATACACCTTCACTAGAATCATTTGGATGATTTCAGCCCTGGAATTGCCCATGTCTACTGAACTAAAAGTAAAAGTTAACTTGAAAACTACCACTTCATGATATCTCAAGGTGGAACAGAATATTTTGAGCTTTGGAGATGTAGACAGAGTAATAATAAAGTGTTACGCAAATATGTATGATTGAAACAAAAAAACAACTGCAGCTGTATTTTTGATGAGATAACAGCAATGCAACATTTTGTTTAATGTAAGACCTTCAAGACTTCAGTCCATATACAAGGCTGTACTTAGATTCCAAGCTGATGTGAGATAATTTAATTCCATTATTCAGCTTTTTCTTTAGTGAGACAGGCTATACAACAATGAAGATTATACTATTATAGAATCATTATTATAATAAACCCTACTTTTATGGTTGAGAACTACTGTCATTTGCCAGAGAGTGACTAAACACTGCTTATAAACTGCTTAGAAATGCTTACAAAAAGGGACAGACCAGAAAGTGCTTACTGCTGTAATTGTGAGTCACAGCTGGAATTGAGTTTGTTCTGAAGAGCAAAGAGCTGCACCTCTTTCAATGAGTCAAATCCACAATTTTTATTTATTTTTTTCTTTTTGTGACAGCTGGTCTTGCTCTACTTCCTTTCCCTCACACATGACAGAGTTTCATCAACAATCTTCCTGGACATTTTTGCCCAGAGAGTTGCATTCTCCACACACACGTCGAGCCTATGATATTCTATTAAATGCATTAATTTAAACATACACATGACACACACTGCTCTTATCATTGTGCAGTACTGAGCAGCTTTGCAAAACAGTGGGAGGCCATTTTGAAGAGCTACTTAATAATTCCCTCGGACAACCATGAAATTCCTTCTTTTTCTTGTCTTTGCTTTGGTTCGGGTCTGGCTCTAAAATTCCTCGGCACGCTGTGTTTTTATGTTTGATTACACATTCACTTTTATTGCATTGAGCCTTCTGATTCATTTGTTCACCGTCTGGAGTAAGCCCTCTTGGATATTTGCATAAAGATTAATTAGGCAGATGCAGTGTTAGCTTGTTTGCTAAATAATACTTGCTAATTAGACATGTTTGGTGAACATCTGCTCCGCTGTATTGGACCTGTTCAGAGTGAATGTACGCTCGAGGTTCAGCTCTCGTTTACTTGTACATGAAACAGCCTCTGTAATTACTGCTACAATTTTACCACAGGTTTTACTTGCCAATTCAATTTTAAATAAAGAAATTTGATTAAAAGTTACAACTTGCTTCAGACCAATCAGCCACAACATATATACCGTGTCCAAGTTAATACTGAGATTAAATAATGCTTCAGGATACTTATATACAATTGACTTTTTAAATTTGTGTTATTAGCAACGTCCATTAAAATAAAACAATAATAATACTAAATCAAAGCTGTTGGGATGGGACAAGATCTTGTGAGGCAAAACTGCAACGAGATTGTACAGTGGCAATGACAACAAAAATATAAAATTTAATTAATAAATTCTTGTTTTGTTTTGGTATAAAACTGAGTGTATCAAATATAAGTCACAGGTGGTGCTGAAATCTTGAGTCTTTCCCAAACAGAATGCATGCTAACATTTTCTTTTGTGTAAGTGAGCTACAGGGACGAGTCAGGTGTTGTATCACATCAAGTCCAACAGTGCACTGCCTACAGCTTACATATTAATAAATCATTTCATATTTTCCTCTGGCTGGGCTTCATAGAGTGGTGTTTGTTGATGTAAACGTGATACTATCAGTGGCTTCCTGGAGAGCGTTGCCGTGGGACACATTGTTGCGTGTACATATAGAATACAGTAGATTACATAGGCAAAACACACTATCTCCCCCTTCATCTCAAATCCTCTGTCTCCTCTTCTTCATGTTTTTATCCCTCCTTCTGCTCCCATCCCTCAGGCTGCATGGTCCCAGTTCACTTTATATCAGGGATGTCTTTGGGTTTTTATGCCCTTGGTTTTGCCTCTCAGGCTTTCATCTCCTCCATGCTTATAATCCTGTTTGTCTCCTCTCCTGCTTCACCGGATTCTCACCTTCAACCTCTACCTACACAGGCAATCCTTAGGTACTTGAGAAATGGAGGTGGAAATTGGTACTGTCCTTAGGCGTGTTGTAAAATGCTTCCAGTGTTACATAATATGCCTCCAATATAAAGGCAATATTTTTAACAATGTTCAGGCAAATAATTAATCACATTCCATAAAAAAAGAATGAATGAATGAATTAGAATGAACTTTAGAATGATGAGAATTAAACTCATCTCATAATAGTTGAGATTATTTTATAATTAATTGTATGTGTGTGTGTGTGTATACATATATATATATATATATATATATATATATATATATATATATATATATGTATATATATATATATATATATACACACACACTCACTTCACGCACACACTAATGTTATTTGATTGTTTGAGTCCACCTCTAATTTGTTTTTCATTTTGGCACTCTCACCTTTTTGCTGAAAATCAAACACCGTGAACACTTTTCATCACAGGTTCCTGAAAATGTGCTGTTTAAATCCATTTTCTATTTTTTCAGACAATCTTAAAACTTTTTTGTAAGTGCAAATTCTGCCAATACAGATAGATGTACAACACCCCCAGTATGATGCCGCTGCAAAATATCAATTTGAAGGATGTTTTTGAACTACAAATAATGTTTTAAATTCTCATTCTTAATGATTTGAGTATAATAAATAGAGCAGTTAATCATCCAACATCATCAAAATATTGAAATTAACATAAATATTTGAAGATGCAGTATGTAACTTTTCTGGGAGTGTCACCTGCTTGTTTCGATGGATATGTTATGGCATTGATTGGAATAGTCCGTAATATCTTAGAAAAACTTGCATTCTTACTACAAATCTAATTTGACTTGTAACTTGCCCTTGTGGTGTCACCTGCTTTTCGCCGTGGAGTTACATGCTTAATGCCATACTGTGGAACATTCCAGGCAAATAGCATTTCTATGGACACAAGCATGTGGAACTGTGGTGGCAGGAAAGTTACTTGGTGCACCTTTAAAGTCCCAGTTTCTTTTTAGATTGATGATGGCCACTGACTGAGACTATGTGAAGGATCTCATTAAATAAAGGTCAGGTATCAGTGTGGAACGCCAGTGCATTGGACATGATCTGGTTTGTCCATGCTTATGTGTGATGCAGTGAGTCCTTAGGCTTTTATTCAACAAATGCTATACACTATCCAATGTTCTATTTATAATCCAGACTGATTAGCATGTCACTGCCTGTGTTAATCTCCCAATGCCTTGTGTTCCTCTCCATACATATTCTATTTCAACATGACTAAGTGATAATACAGATGTATCTGTAATACAGATACATAATGTTTCCAAAAGCACGCTAACCCTACCTTTATTTCAACAGAAACAAACCCAAACAGTCCACACAAGAACGGCGGGCCCTGCACTGCAACCTGTAATCAAAGTGAATGTGTGTGTGTGTCTGTGTGTGTGTTGGCGGAGATAAATGCCCCCTTCGGAAATTCAACGCCAAATAATCAAGATTGACACTGGCACACAGCACTGGGAGCTGAACGTGTGGCGGATTGTTTGTGCTATTTTTGTGGGCAGGATCTAATCAAATCTGCTCATGCTGATTATAATAATCGTGAGGTTTATAATGACATTTCTGTCTCCCTTCCTTTTGCAGTTCAAAACTTTAGCTCGCTTTAGAATGCTTGTTAACTTTTGTTGTATGTGGCATCTATTTACAATTCTATGCTTTAATAGAATCAACCATTACACTTTTAATAGCCTTAATGAAGTATAAACAAAGTCTTAATTTATAATACAAATAATACATAATGCTTTATTTTAAAATGATTCAGGTTTAGTAACCACTTCAAGGCATTTTTCAGATTTTTACTGTCTTAAAAGCAACACATCAGTCAGCTCGATCTCGAAATTATTAATTAATAATTAAAGGGCTCACTTATTACACTATTTTCTGTTATGATGTTGTGTCCTCATCACAAACATATCTGAAGTTATGCTTTGTTTCATTTACACATTTTTAACACACAAACCCTGCATATTTAGGCATTTTCTCTCAAACAGAAAACACACTGTTGTGATGTCATGTGGTAATACAGGAAGTGCTCCACTGTGTTTTTAAGATGCATACATCTTCACTAGAATGATTTGGATTGTCAGTTCAACCCTGGAAATGACAATCTCTACTGCTTCATGACATCACAAGGATGGAACAGAGCATTCTGAGCTTTAGAGATGTAGCAGACTAAAAATAAAGGATTACTCAAACATGTGTGAATGAAACAAACCACAGCTCTAGGTATGTTTTTGATGAGGTAACAACATTATAACATGGCTTAAAGCTCACTGTCGAGTCAAGTCAATTTTGCATAATATAGGCCCTGAAGACAGATCCATTCAAATCTGGTCATTAACACACTGTAATAAAATGAATGTATTTTTTACTCTTTCCCCAGGATACAGAGGTGGTGAACACAGCCATCCTCACCGGGCGTCAAGTGTTCGTGCCCATCAGACTAGTTACTGTGGAAACAGATGGAAAGGTGCGGGACGTAGATGGCCTGGTCACCTGCAGCTCTACAGACGTGGATGTGGTCAAGGTATGTGTAGTGTTCAAATACAACTCAAACCTTGACATGTTTGCGCCCAGCTAACAAATGTGTAGATTGTGTAAGATATTCTTTAGTGACCTTATTGTGATACCAGGTCAAACAAGACTTATTTGACTAGTTATTAAAAAGTGTAATCTGCAGCTTTTACAAAAAAAGGTCTAAAATGTTATTGCTTTACCTGGAATATCCCATTGTAAGGCATTACACATTTATATTGCACATACATTTACTGCTCAAATAAATACCTTGAAAAGCTTGCAATCTTATGGCGAACCGGGTCATCTCCATAGAACTGACCTGTAAATTGGTCAGGTGGAATTCCCTGTTTCCATGGAGATACCCAAGGTTATTACTATACTATGAAACAATTGATGTGAAGCAATAACAAATCCACATAGACAAGCAGGTGACAGAACCTTCACCAGAAAAAAAAATCTGAAGTTTTCTAACAGCAAAATGACCATAAGTCTTTAAAGAGTTCATATTACATTATTTTCTAATTTATGTTATAATGGAGCTCCCTCATCAAAAACATACCTGGACCTGGTTTTGTTTCATTCACATGTGTTTAACATAAACCCTGCATATTTAGGATATGTTTTTCTCTCAAACAGAAAACACTGTTCCCCTTGTGATGTTATGTATCTATACTAAACAAAGTGTAAAAGGTTAGTCTGATTCATCAGTCAGTTTTACTTCATGGAAACCGTCTGACTTCCCAGCATTAGGATTCGTTCGCTTGACAGTAGGCGGTTACTTTTTTTATTCAGTCAATCGCCGCTATTTGGTCGTGACGTATGTAATGTGCTGAAACATTCAGTGGTGTCCAAGTAACAACAGCAAACAAAGCAGAGAGTGAACATGTCTGTCAATGATCATTATCGTTTCTGCGAGATGAACTTGCGAATTAAAGGTGCAATAAAAAATGCAAAGTTTGTATTTGACATAGGAGGATGCAGTCTGCTATCGCAGTTCGGGTTGGTTCAGCTCTTCGCTGATTGGGCAGTGCGCAGTATACAATGTGTACTCCGATTCCTGACCTAGTTGCTGGAGAGAAATGAAATTGAGCGGAAGCACTAGGTGGCGCCAGCCTGGCTAGGTAAAAGGTAGTTGTTAATTTGAAAACTACCATTTCATTACATCACAAGGAGGAACAAAGCATTTTGTAGGTGATGGAGGTAACAACATTATATCATGGCTTAAAGCTCACAAGAGTAAATTTTGCATAATATAGGACCTTTAGAATAGAGTAGCATGTGTCTGTAGAGTTTGTTGTTCATCATTTTGAGTGGTTGTAGTAGTAGTAGTAGTAGTAGTAGTAGTAATGTTTTAAGATGCCAGACTTCGCTCCACTATTGATAGGGGTTATTTGGAACCCTTGAGGGAGTGAGGGTGCCGTGTTGAGACTTGAGGAACTAAACTGAGGGCACTTTACACAGCGGGGCGCACATCCTGAATCATCATTATAATCACGCATCCTGGAGGATTTGTGTTGTTCTCTAATTCGTTTTGTGCAACACTGCATAATGAGACACTTATCACAGTGTGGAAGCCTTACTCTGCTCGCAGTTTTTATATTGCTCTTTTCAAGTTGTCACAAAAATAAATTTGGTATCTTAAAATAGATAAATTGATTTTTTTTAATGCTTTCATGACTTCAGTTTGGAGTAATAGTTCAAACATTGGCATCCCCTTGTGTGTTGTGTATCTTGTAAAGTTAGCATGTGCTGCAGTTGGGTATAGCCGACACTACAGTATGAGAGATTTCTTATATGTAAATTAGCTAATTTGATTTCCAGACAGTTTTAATGGAGCTTTGAATGATTGTCATTTGAGTTCATGTCAGCCCAGCAGTATTAGACACTCTGGACAAGACTTGTGTTCCCAGTGCTCAGCCTGACTTGGTGAACTTTTGCTCTTTATCACCGAGAGATCTCATCAGGAGCTGGGCTTTTTTAGTACTCTACCTGCTCCTTTGTCCAGATCAGCTCAGCCAATACTACTATGTGACCACACACTACCGAACGAGAACGAGCTGTCTGCAACACTCTTAGCATCCCCACTATTGTTATTATAATCAGCAAATCATCTGCATAAATAGTTTAGCAGAATACACCTTAATTTGAATATGCTGTCTCCTATGTTGTTTGTGCAGTGGGAATGCTCTGTCACTCTCTCTTTCACAATAATGTTATCTCTATTTCTGTAAGTTAGGGAGCTTTTATTTTGTTAGGACAACAGGATGTAGTCCAAGTGGAGGAGTTTAGAATTAGTACTGCTGTAGGTTTCATGGACTACTATTGACAGATTTAGCAGAGGTAATAAAACTGTGCATTTATGCTCATGGATTATAATAAAACTGGGTCAAAAGAAACCAAGCAGTGCTTTACTCCTGCTGTCACCACATGTTCTTCTGTACCTTGTTTCTGCCCAACCCCAAAAGGAGGACTGGACAGTCAGTGCCTAGGAAGGCTCTACATCTTAGTACAAAATAAAGCCTCACTAATATCAGTATGTAATAATCCATTGTTTTTACAGAAGTTTAAACTATTTATAGTGGGATAAATGTATGACACCAAAGTGCATTCATACTGAAATCATGCTCACTCTACACATCACAATCATTTACATGGTTCAGTGTGTTTTCACATAAACATAATCCACCTGAGGCAGGTCAGAACTCCTCTTGTCTCCTCTCACCTCTCCCTCAGTAAAGCGTCTTTGTGACATATGTCTGTGAAAAATGCTATATAAATAAAGACTTACTTACTCCCACAGACTGTCCTCCACTGCAGTAGCAAGCAGACATATGCTCACACGCACACACGCGCACACACACACGCGCACACACACTTTTTGTTTTAACTTTAGCAGTGCTAACTGCTTACAATACTGTAAATATATCGTATGGTGAACATCCATCCATGTTGAGTAGCAGTACTGGCTACATGCAAGTGGTGCTGAGAAGTGCTAATAAGGTTCTAGTGAAAAATCCAAACTGCTCTTAGCTTTTGTAAACATGTATGCATTTAACTTTTAAATAGTTTATCACAACATCACTGAGTAACCTTTGGACCAGACAGTTTTAGAGCCTAAATTCACACTGATTGGAGGACTAATTAATGAATGTGAAATGCCTTTGGAAAGAAGCACATGCCACAGACTGGAGATTGATTCCGGTGCGCCGTGTTCCTTTTGCCCTCGAGGCCCCAAATGAAATGCACCCTCGCTGTGACAGTTTCAATATGAAGCCAATTTCCTGGTACAAGGCGACAAGAGTGCTGCTGTTTAAGTCCGATCAATAACAACACAGAGAATGGAAGGAACTCATTCAGATAAATGTAGCGCCGCACCTCAATTATGTGAACATGGAGCTGTGTCTTTTAAGGGTTCTCACTGAAAAAAGTATGTTTGAGTGAAAGTGGTAGGAGGCCAGGAAATGAGTGATCTGGAGAACATACTAAAATCTATATATTTTTCTCATGAATAATTTCTTTTACATCTCATTACCTTTTCATAAGTTCTTCTCAATACATTTTTGTAGAGCCTAAAATCACAACAGCAATTGTCTCACAGGGCTAACAAATTGTTGATTATCACCAACAGAAAGTTGGAAAATCAATTAGTGAAACAGTCAATGGTCAATAATAGACAAGCAGATCAACTAAAATTCACAGGAAATAAGTAAAGAGATAACAGTCCCAGAGTATCTAATGTCCTTAGACTCCCTCCCACTCGACAAGGAAAAAGTCCAAAAAACAGTGGGAAAAAGAGAAACTTTAAGGAGAACAGTGAAGGAGCGATTCACTCTCATGAACAGGCAGAATGGAGACGTGTCCAGAATGACACACATCCATTTGCAGATATTGGTAGAGTTTAAGTCTCTAAAGCCAGAGGTAAGGGTCTTGATTCCAAAATATTGTGAAACTAAATAGAGTTGGCTTAGAAGGGACAGTTTTGTTTGGAAGTAAGGGTAACATAACCCAGGGCCCCCAACCACTGGGCTGGGGCCCAAAATTTGGTTGCAAATATGACTAAAAATAAGTTTCATGTCTGTTTTAAAATCTAGTGCTATTTCCTTGCTATTGTATGCATTTTACACCTTCTACCAATCCTTGAAAAATGTTTATTATTGGTCCTTATGAGAGGAAAAGGTCCAAAAAAAAAAGGTTCTTTCACTCATAAGATTCCTGGGGACTATTATTATATTATTTAACAAAAAGTCAAAATTGACTATGCAAAACCCATAATATTTGACTTAATATGCCATTTCATAACCATAGCTAATTTATTTATCAAACTGTATTTTCTTTTCTTTTTGTCATCATCATTGAAAATGTGTTAATCCCTTAAATGTGTCACATTGTATTCTCACTTTTGGCAGTGATGTACAGAATGTGTCAATGACTGCAGCAGTGAGTTGCTAATGAGTCACTACAAAAGCAATGGTGTGTTATGGTTTTTGGCAGCGTCTCCTCTTATCTGTGCCAAAGCCCTTATTATAAGATGTTTGACTAAACTCAATTTACTGCGACCAAAATGTCTAACTCTTATCTTCACCTTAATTCAACCCTTACTGTGACCTTACAGCCAAACTTTCACTGCAACATAAGTTATTTGTATTTCAGTTTTTCTGTCCCCAGAACTGAATTTATTCCCCTATAAGATAATAAATATTGTCTGAACATCCACGGGATACACACAGCTCTTGAGCATAGACAGCTGTTTGACGATGGCACCCATGGGAGACACTGCAGGTAGCTCTAGCTGTCACTGAGTCACTATTACAGCTGTAAAGTAGAATCCAGGGAGCCGACGCAGCACATGTACCAGACTATTACGCTCCGACTTGAGCCTCAGCAGTAGCACTTTCCTCCAGATTTATCACTAATTCTTGTCTTTGTTAGACTGAGTCTGTCCTCACTTCAATACGTCAAACCTGAAGAACTTGATGCTAATGGTTGAGGCGCCTTCCAATTTCATGTGTT